CATAATATATATACATTATATATATATTATATATATATATATATATGTAAATTATAATTATTTACTGTAATCAGATTGTATCTGTTATTATAATTAGATATTGTACAATATTGAAATATAGATATTCTGGAAATTCCACTTCTACATTTTATGAAACAAATTTTTGAATAATCAAATATTGCATATTTCTGAGTAGTAGTACTGTATAGTAATAAAGTACATATACTGAGTAGTAGAGTTATAGAGCATATTGTATATTAGAGTTCATATCACAAAGATTATGAAAATAATGTATTTTTCTAAAGTAAAAAAAAATTAGAACTAGAATAAATTAAAAATTATTGCATTGATAAATAGTTACTTTAACGATTCTATCAATTCGGTAAAGCCATCAGATATGTCCACAGATTTTCTAACAGGTGTTGGTTTATAATCTGAACCATCATGTCTAAATGCATCATCACCTAAATTGTTTATTCTCAAAGGTATGGGTTCAAACATCCTAAAAATACAAATTACAAATCAAGAAATAACAAGGAAACTTTTGCTGGTAATTTTCTGGTAGAATATAAAATTCTTTAATTACATTGTTAAATATTATTTATTAAATATTATTTAACATCATTCGCATATATAGTTCCATGTTTCTAACAAATGATACAAATTAATTTTATTCATATTAATATTTAATTAAAAATTTAAATTAAATATTGACTTATGAAAAAATTTACAAATTCTAAGTCAAATTTTTGATATTTACCCTCGCTTGTGCCTCAGAAATACATGTCGAAATTTATGAGTACCATGTGTCTCAGAAGTGGAAGCATTGAGGAGACAAGTGAGAAAGAAATCTTCCTTGCAATTATTTCCATTAGAGAAATATGAGGCAAATTGTTTGTGCAATATTTTGTCTCTCATGGTGGGAATTAAGCAATTAGTATTTCTGCGGAAGCGAAACCAACCAATCACCTGCTTGCTCTTGTCACATACAAAATCCTGTAACTTCTCTTTGTTAATCCGACCAGTAGAGTCGTGCAAAAGATCAATCAAAGAACATGAGACAATGGCCTCCACATCTAAAAGTATTTTTAACATTAGGATAAACTAGCAATAACAATAACAGCGGTAATGATAAAAATAAAAAGAGTAAGAGATCACAAATAATAATAATAGTTATAATCCAGATATGAAAGTTGATAAGATTTTATCAACTTTCTATTTTGTTCTAGTTGTGGCAAGAAACTGGTTATATTTACTAATTAATCTTTCTCCCTAACAATGCAAAATAAAGAAAGTCTGAGTATTTTATTTCAATTAAATTATAAAAAAAACTATAAAAAAATTTATGACCACTAAAGTGGTTTTAGCAAAGATAAAAATTTATCTAACTCCAAAACTTATAGCATTTTGTATATAAGCATTGCAATAATAAAATAAATTGTAGTACCAATTTAGGCTTGCAGATCATATTTTTATTAGAATCTAATAAAATTTAATGCAGGAACATACTATGAAAATTTGGTGAAAATGAATATATCATGCTGAATATGTTATGCTACTAAAGTACTTATTATTCCTCAATTCGTTCTGAATTTCCAGATAT